AACCTGACGCTGCGGCTAATGCTCGGTTTATGTCGATTTAAGAGCATGGACAATGTCAAGTGGTTGATGCCTGTGTTAGGCTTGAACTTAGTCTTAGCGTCGGGCTCAACTAGAAATGACATGTTCGATGATTTGTTCATGATCATGGGCGTCAACCCCCCCCCCAAAAAAAAAAAAAAAAATAAAAAAAAAAAAAAAAAAATAAAAAAAAATAAAAAAAATAAATAAATAAAAAATAAAAAAATAAAAAAATAAATAAATAAAATCAAGGCGGGGGCCGGGGGACACAATATCAAATGTTTCCGTTCACCCCCCATGTGTGTTTTTACACCAATCCTTTCTCAGGTAGAAGTTCATATTACGAATACATTTATACAAATATACTAGGTAAATATGATTGATTTTCAGTAAAATGAGAACAAAAAAATAAATGAACCAAATTTGTAAGCCAAAGTAGTACTTTCTTAGAAGTGAATATGCTTCTGGATTAGTAAATGCTTGAATGTTTATTAACTAAAATGATGTTTCAGCAGTATCTAGTGTGTTTACAAGCAGATCTTTATATTTATAATTCATGTAATTGATTTTCAACGTTAAATTCAAACTTTTTTTCATTGATGAAAATATGTTACTTTTATGAAGCAAGTAGTAGTCTTCACCCCCTTTCACCCCTTACCTTTATTTGTCTGGTGAAACGCAATACCTTTTCTACTTAATTTTTGGCATTTCCATTTTAGTTTGCATCAGTTTAGAACAACAACCACCATATTTATATCCAACATTTTGTTAATTCACTAATGGGGTTGATGAGGTTGTTTCAACATTATGTTAATAAATCTTTGAAGTCGATATTTCTAAATCTTACATTCACATTTAGTCTACAATATTTATATGAGTAACAATAGTAACTAAATGTGACATTTATGAATATTTATGAAATATATTTTTTGTTGCTGAGTTTTTCATTCCCCCAAAACACTATTTTTGGAGCTGCTGCTGTAAGTAAGTACTTGAGAACTTGCTAGCCGCGGCAAGTGACATGTGTTATCATATTTAAAGTGAAAGTTTATGAATGCGGTATTGAGTAATTTAATACTTAAGCTATACATTTTACTTATCTAGCTTATGCTTTCACTTAAAAGTTGTTATAGTTGATAATTATTTATATTTTTGAATACGGCGTATTGTTTGTGCGTTCATTTTTTCATGAACCTATTTTTACCCTGGGCTGTCAACAATACAGTAACGCACTGACATTTTAAGCGTATATTTTAATTGATTGATTGACTTATTTATTCGTCCACAATGTGGAAATATGCTTCCCAACGGCATTACAATAATACAAGAAACAGAGTACAATAATATGAAACATGCAAAACAATGAAGCAAACAATTTCAGAACAGAGAAGATCTCGTCATTTCACATAAATAACAGTAATGAACAGTTTATGAATTAGAATAAGTATGATCGTTATTGCTATTGTTATTAGTAATATTATTATTATTATAATTAGTATTATTATTATTATCTCTTAAAGGCCCACTGCACTACTTGTAGCTACTTGCACCCTCTATATAACAACCAAAGCCTAATCGGTGACCACTGGTCCCCCATGAACCTCTTTTCTTATGTTAACTGAGAGCTGAGTTGATGAGATAACCACCTGTCCAGTGACCTTGCAGAGCGCTCTAATCCCTCCTGTAAACTATGGCAGATAAGCTTTAACGAATTGGTTGAACACAGGCGCGTACACAGGGGGAGGGGGGGGGGTTGGGGGGGGGGGTTAACCTCCCCCCTTAGGTATTTTTATGTGTGTAACCCCCCCCCCCCACCACCCTAACCCCCTCCCCCTTTGGATTTTTTTTTTTTGTCTAAAAAGGTGACCTTACTCCCCCCCCCCCAACAGAGCCAAATGTCAAATCTTCAAATTTCGAGACCAAAAAAAAAAAAAGTGTCCTCTTACCCCCCCCCCCCCCGCGCTTGTTCAGCGGCTGGATGAGTCGTTGCGATTTTTTTGGGACCAAAAAAAAAAAAAGTGTCCTCTTACCCCCCCCCCCCCCCCCCCCCCCCCCCCCCGCTTATTCAGCGGCTGGCTGAGTCATTGCGAAATTTTCGGCCCGATTTATTAATGTGAAAGTACGCGCCTGGTTGAACATGTGGATAGAATTTGGTACGAATGATTGGCGGAAGCGTGCTCGGTTTGTGCGTGGGACGTTTAGTCGAATTCCAGAACGGTTGAAAGAATACTGGGTGTTTATAAGAGGGTGACTTTGATCTTTCATGATTTTGTTTTTTGTTTTGGACATGACTCTCTGTTCGAACAAACAATTTATATTAGTCAAATCATGCCCTATCACTCTCTGTGCCGCTCGTCACACCCGGTCTAAGCGAGTCCGGTTTTTCTGGGTCCCATTTCCGTAAAAACAAATCACGTTGTATGTTAGAATGCTTTGTATTAATGACTGATAAAACAAAATCAGAATTGTTCTGTCAACATGAATAGTTTTCATCATTCTCAGAAAGAAGAGTCTTTGGTTTCCCTTGTTACACAGTGTTTGTGTGTTTTTAGTCCAGTCTGAAAAATTAGAACGATAACACAGAAAACATTTTGAAATGCATAATCAGTATTCGGAATTGTATTTCATTTTGTAGATTAGACTACACATGATATGAATTACAATTCAGCATTATTATTTCGAATTGTCACTGCCATGGGTCAAAGCCGTTGCACTTTAAAAGAAGCCTTGAGTTATTTGATGTATTACATGTACGTGTCTTCTTTTTAAACAAACATGTTCGGTAAAATACTGATTAGAAGAAATCTCAAATGTTATGAATAAATCAATTATTACTAGTATTACATGATGATCAGTATCTATAGTTAATTATGTATTAAGTAAAGGGGTTATATTTAAATATACTTTCAGTTTGAATTCAGTTTGTTCAAAACATAATTTAATCAGGTGTTATTGTAAGGATTGCTAACAAACATGACAAACTATATTCTTGAACTCGAATCGTATATAGCCCGCAACTTTCGTGTTATTATGCCTACACACAGAGACAAATAGGTGTAAATTCACTCCCTATAGGGAGTAAGTGCTTGTCGCATAAGCGACACCCCTCAGGGAGTAATTTGTTTTATTTTTATAAGAAGGTGTAAATTTGCACCCCAAGGTTATGATTTTACTCCCTTTAAGGAGTGAAATTTGCACCCAATGGTGCTTAATTATCACCTTTTGGTTCCATTTTCATGAAAAATTGGGTTCAAATTTACACCCGTAGGGTTGAATTTTATACCCTTTATGATCGATTCGACACCCTGTGGGGAGTAGATCTACACCCTTCTTATGCACAGCATCAACCAATTATTGATCATCCCTCGAGCAATCAATCATCCATGCTTCGTAATCACCTAACAGTCACTGATTCTCGCCCTTTTGTCTACGTTTCACTGCTCTAAAGAAATCAGACCAGAATGTCGAGTTATATGTCGAAAGGCTTTAATGCTTACCTAAACAACAGTTAGATTGAACTCAACACAAGTGCAGACTGTAAGAACCAACACGTATAAGAAGACAATTATGTACTAGTTAGTAAAACAACACTTCTGCTAATTTAATTAAATCATCAAATATAACCTTCGGTACAACCCTTATTCTTGATTGGATAACTTTCACACAAATTATGCCCAAATGAAACATGATAATTCCCTAACATGACTAAAATATGTAAATTATGCTAATTTTCCTTCATTTGTCAGTACCTATATCGACACGATGCGCCATTGCTGTAGCTCATGCGCATATGCACTGACCAATCAGAGCTCGTCTGACTAAAATAGGGGATTATAAATAGTAGGATTATAACGCGGAGTTATAACCCTATTAATTTCTAGGTTTGCCGTAGCGATTATACACGCCGTAGCCATGCCGTAGAGCGGTTCCACGGCGATCGTACGTCAGGCGTACGGTGGCCTTGCGTTTTATATAGTCCAGGGTTGAAGCGGTAGCATCAGTCTGGCCGCATGGTCGCCGTATGGTTTACCCTTCGGCCGCCTTACGGGCACCTTGCGGTTACCGGGTGTCTGCCTTATTTTGTCAAAAACCTACGGCGGCCGCAGATTTTCTGTCTCCAAAAGTTCAAATACGCCGTGCGGCTACAATAACAAAATTATGTGACCGCTACCGTATGGTGCTCACCAGCTTTTAAACCGTAGTATTCTAGCCTGTTTGAGCTCTCCGTGTTTTAATGTCCATCCCATAGTCTACATGTAAATGACTTTATATTATTTCCTGTGACTTCCTGACTTCCTGTATGATATGCATTTTTTTTAATGGTACCTCTTTGGTAACTGTACAGTGTGTCCCAGAAAAAACGAAACCGAGAAGTATCGAAGTTTTATCATAACTTAATCACAATTATAAATAATAAATGACACATATTTGGAAAGCTTAGATCCTCCTCTTTCATTTGATGTAACTCGTATGATTCATATTTATATGAGTGATTAAAAGCAATTTGAAGAGAGGAAACTAAAAAGTCATTTGGCGGGCGGTATCTGAATTTCAAGGAGAAAATCACGTTTCTAGAAAGTTCAATTTCTGCTCTTTTATATGACACCTCAATCAGGAAAAGTGAGCCAGTAATAACAAAGTTCTGTTTGTTTAAAGTAAGGCTTGCATTTCCATAATTTGATCAAACGAGTTCGTTTTTACTGGCTGCCTGCCGTTGCAACGAACAGAGTTGACAAAAGACTTAACTCCGTTTCGTTGATGATCAGCCATGCACAAAGAAGACGAAAGACCTGATGCATGGCTGATCTTCAACGAAACGGAGTTTTCTTAATACTAGATTCCTTTCTCAACTGACAGGCAAGGAGATTTCACGACATACAGTATGCTCATGTTTATAAAAAAGAAATATTTTTTTCTTGAAATCCAGTGATATCCGAGAACTGAAATTATAGTGTTGTCGTATTAAATTTTATCGTTTATTAGGTGCGATGTCTCCCAAAAAAATGTTCCTGCTGATCAATCTTTTCATCGTTTGTTTAATCGGATTGTGGCTTGATTGTGGACTGGGATCTTGTAATTCCGTGCACTCTTTCATACAGGCAAGTTCATTCTTTTCAGTTCATATTTCTAATTCTTGTTTCAGAAGAAACGTCATTTCGATTGCGTTTATTACCAAACAAATTGGCAACATTAATTGCGACGTATCTTGCGAGCTTCTTTCCAATTTGTTCTGTACAGAAAATTTCATGAACTTGCATTTTCTTCGTTATTGATGACGGTATATATTTTTGTCCATATAGGGGTTGAATAGAAAGATATTTGCAATAATTTCATTTGAGGTGCATGTATGATTGCATATTTTCTAGAATGAAAATTAAACAATTCTGTTTTTTTTTCTTTTTCTTCAAAACCTCAAATTTGACAATTATTATTCATTAACAAACTAAATGCGGTTGTTTTTGTTTTTTGCGCTAGTTAATCTTGGATGATTTCATAGGAATTGAAGAACCAACATATTTAATTGAAACAGTTTTGTAGTTGTTAACAATAAGGCCCGTCATTTTCTTTAATGAATAGAGGCCAATATGAGTGTTCATGTACAGATTCATAATGATTGAACTTTTAATATTAATTTGTTTCAGGCTACTGGAATCGCACACATAGATGTATTTAGACCGTGCTTACAACCAGTACTTTACGATTCATCGGTTGATGATACAGGTGTTGTCTGCCCCGTGGGGAAAGGTTCATGCCCAGTGACTCATCTCAAAGATGCGATACAACGAAGCCCGCCCTCCAACGTACGATGGACAACGGGGGAGAATCTGACAAGTGCCAAGTACAGCGACAATAAAATCAGTAATGCAAAAACGGTATACTTCCTACATGATCGGCTCGAGTTACTAATCCAGGCCCGCGATGGATGTGGACGGCTGAAACGATATGGTGGTGATTACTTCCGGGCTAAGATATTCACCAAGAATTCAACATTCTCTGCGAGTTCTGCAACGGATGGAGAAGTGATCGATCTAGGAAATGGGACTTACAGGGCTCTCTTTACTCTGAAATGGCCAGGGAAGGTCCACGTTAAGGTGACCTTGGTTCATCCCAGTGAAGCGGTCGATGTGATTCGCCGTTTCCGCGACGCAGCTCCAGCGCGGTACGTTTACCGCGGCAAGTTTGTGTCCGCAGACGGTACGCACAAAGAAGAAACTTTCTGCAACATTGTACTCTGTGGACATCCGGTAAGGGGCCTTTTATCCTTCATTATTTTTAACAACAATTATAATTGTAAATGCATTTAACAATTTGTATAATGGTACAGACTGGATTGAACCTTTGAACAAAATATGAGTGGATGCCAGGAATGTAAAGATTAAATATAGTAGGTAGTATCCTGGAACTGACGAATTTTCGTCACCATAATTACACTTCCGCCCCCTCTCTCTCTTTCTCTCTCTCTCTCTCCCCCCCCCCCCCCCCCCCGTGGTGTACAGAAAGTTTCAAGTGGTTCGGGTTCGCTAATCTCAGGCTCTGAAATTGTACTTTTAAAATAAAGCAATTTCTCACGCTTTGTATACAACGTGTAAATCGTTCAGACTCCATCATTTTAGGTGGAAGTGCCAAGTAATATCAAAGCTTATCTGCCATAGTTTACAGGAGGGATTAGATCGCCCTGCAAGGTCACTGGACAGGTGGTTATCTCATCAATTCAGCTCTCAGTTAACATAAGAAAAAGAGGATCATGGGGGACCAATGGTCACCGATTAGGCATTGTTTGTTATATAAAGGGCGCAAGTAGCTACAAGTAGTGCAGTGGGCCTTTAATGATGATGATGATGATAATAATAATAATAATAGTAGTGGGTTCTTGTATAGCGCTCATGTCCGTCATACGTGACACTCCTAATAATAAATAACAATAACATGAGATTTGTAAGTCGCCCAATCCACTTGAAATCAAATGCTCCAGGCGCATTCCTGCAATAAAGGAAAATAGAACAAACAAAATTGAAAGAGAACAATCAATTATAGTATAAACCGAATCAAACATATTACCTTGACTCATATTTTACAGCTTGACTTATGCAACTTTACCGATAAGGCTACGGGATCTCCCTGGTTTTGCTACATGCCCAAATCACCGAAACTTAAGTGCAGCGACTGGCGGGAACATCGATGTGACTCCAGCACGGCAGACTGGTATGATGCGTCGCTTTTATCATCGCATGACAAGTTAACCTTGATGTAAGTAGGCCTACAGTCAAATTCAATCTTTAAGAGTAAAAGTAGCTGATAGCAAGGATAGGAAAGGCCTAGTTGATAAATAAGCGAGCGAGTAGGTATGAAGATGTGAATATATTGAGTAGTCAGTATATACATCGGTGGATCATGGAATCTCTGGCATGGCCGGGGTGGAGGCGGGCAAAGAGGGGTCACAAGTTAAACAATTATGTGACGGGTAGAAAACAAAACAAAGGGTCATCAGTATTTTCCGGGATCCGCCACTGACATATCATAAGACATATTGAACTTACCGTGATTAATGCTACTTTTCCATAAATGTGATGATGACCAGTGGCGGCGATCCCAGGCGGGACGGGGACACGCCCCCTCAATTTGTTGAGGGGGATCATCCTCCCCCCCCCCCTCTTCCCGGGAAAATTTGAAAAAGTGCAAACAAAAAATGTATAGCAGATACTGACCAAAGACTGCATCACCATTTTAGGCTCTGGAGTGTCCAAGGGTGCAGCGTTTAGACTATATAAAAATGCAAATATCTTCTGGATCTGTCGCTACGCTCCCTCGCATAATATCCTTCAAAGTGTACGAGTAAATATTGTAGAAAATCTGTATTCCGTTGGTATTACCTGTGAGGGGGTAGTCACTTCCGTCACCTTCGCCCCTCTCGTTCACTGTGCTCCCTCGTCCCTCGCATTTCGTCCGTCCCCCCCCCCGGTCATGAAAAGAAATCGCCTCCCCTGATGATGACCAGGGGGGTGTTTCACAAAGGCTAAGATCAACTCTAAGTTAGACTTAACTATGGCAGGATGTTCATGTCACTGGTCGCTCTCACCATTGGTCTCTCAATTATTTTTTTCTTCAATAATGAACTATCAAAAAAGGTTAATTATGTAGATTTGTGACCACGATTTGTACGACCCATGAGAAACCAATGCCAGGAACGGTTAAAGGAACTAGTGGCATCAAAGGCATGTCATAGTTAAGTTCAACTTAAAGTCGATCTTAGTCTTTGTGAAACACTCCCCAGGGCTTTTCTATGTGCCGGAAGCGCATGCCCCTCCTATCAATTTGAGAAGAATGGAAGAGAGCAAAAGAGAAAGATGGAGAAATTGAATTTGGGAGGGGAAATGACGAGAAAAGAAGCTGACAGATATACGAATTACGTGACAAACTTCAATTCTACATCAGTTTAAGTTTGAGGAATGTGTTTTTTCCTTCAATCAACAGTCCAAAAAGTGATCTTCCTACGAAAATTCAGGTCGAAGTCCGAGGAACGATAAGAAGTAAGTGCAGATTTGATTTAGAATAGATACTTACTACCGTAGTCCGTATAATCCTGATATTGATTGCTATCGGTTCAGATAAAAATTGCACATCGAATCGGTTTAAAATATAAAATTTTTAGATCTGGTCCGAGCAGGCTCTGGGAGGTTCTTGCTCATCACAGCGAGTTAAGGTAAATTAACTTGCTCTGTTGCTCAGAGTGATTTGACACGGTCATTTATTAGGAGAGTTCAGCCAATCCCGCTTGAGTTGGGCACAATATGGCGAAATCTGCTTCGTTGAGCAAGCACAAACAAAAGAATCAACACCCTGATTTGACCAAGGAGTTTTAAGAGCTGGAGACCCAACTGGCAACACGACCGAGCGAGATTCTTTTTGCAATTTTATTAGTCTAAACGCTGCACTCTTGGGCCTTCCGGAGCCTAAAAATGTGTTGCGGTCATTATTCAGTATATGCTATACAATTTGTTTTGCACTTTTTCAAATTTTCCAGGGGGGGGGGGGGGGACGATGCCCCCCTACAAAAATGAGGGAGGACGTGTCCCCCCGTCCCCCTTGGATCGCCGCCCCTGTTTACAGGTGTGCTGTTATCTTTGATGTCCGAGTTTCGAAGCCGCCAATAGCCAATATCATTGGAAAGCTTGAGTAGTGATTATTGTCACAAAGAAATATCCTTAATATTTCACTTTTTATTTGAACTAACAAGGGGAAAATCTAACAGATGATAAAATATGAATACAACAGTCTTATTGTGTCAAGAAATTGTTTTACATTGTATGATGACAGCTTTAATTTGTGAAAAATAGTAAAACTTTACGGTCCTAAAACCTGCAATTTGACACTTTTCCGATTACTTGCGGCTCACGAAAATAAAAAGTGAATTTGTTCGTCCACAGTTCTTTATGATGTTATATGTCAGATTAGTGCCCACACATGCCCAGTCGAGTAATTTTGATTAATATTTCAGGAAATTTTGCTCTATTCTCTTTCACTTGCCTCCTGTAAAGGTAAGCACTGTGCACTGCTCGTATTATCAGACGAGTGGTAGCGAAAAGTAATTAACATTACGAAAGCATATTTCCCTTTGAAAGTGGCCCGATAGTTTGCAGCTAGGCAGGAATCTGTTGCCTACGTATCTGCAAGGAAGGTCCAATCAAGCACATGCCTGACATATTTTCTCCTGGCGGCATCGAAGATGGTACAAAGGGAATGAGCTAGATAGGAATCCATCTCTTAAAACTTCTTGATTTGACAAACTGAAACCAAGTTGGCCAAACGCCCTATGTATCGACATGTCTTGCAATGTACTTAGTTTGCACTTTTTTTAAAGGAAAAATCACATCCTAGAAAGTATTGAACAATCAAGATCCTGTGCCGATATAAGAACCAATCTTTTTTTTCTTTTTTTCTTTCCATGTTTATTCGCCTGTACTTGTACTTGGAACTGATGGGGGGGGGGGGGACGGACAAAATATAACCACCAGCTCCATATTGCACTCTTAAGTTGACCTCATACAATCTTATTACAATGTAGGCAATTTTTATTAAACATTACCAAACAAAAACAAAAATAGACAAGACAAAATACGTACAATTTACATCGAAAGTGAACAAATACAGACAGAAAAGAGTTCAGCATGTACCCAACTGGTCATATTACATGTATGTAGAAACACCCTATATAAAATATACAAATGAAAAGAGCGTTTACCCAGAATATAAAGCATACACAAAAATTAGAACCAATCTTGGTCTACTTGTTGAAATCTAAATATTAACAAAAGTTTCTTTCTATAAATTTGTTCACATATCCAGATTCATCTGAACCAAAATCGGCATCAGAGAATGCGACCGAAAAAGTTATAAATCTTCCCATCTGTACAAATGAGTGCAATATTGGAAACCTCCTCACCTCTGGCTACTATTTCAACGACATTTGGTACAATCCATCCTGCAGAATTCTCAATTTCCCGCTCGACGAAATGCGAAATTGTGTCTCGGGGAAGAAGCTGTATTTCTTGGGAGATTCGACGATCCGCCAGCTCTTCGAGTTCTACGTGGAGCGACTTGGACCAGGATTAAAGAAGACGCCACCTGGTCCAGAACCACAATGGCACGTCGGTCCAACGCGGGTGTTAGACCAGGTCTTCAACATCAGTATGATGTTTCGTTTCCATGCGTACCCGATAGGGAGGAACGAATGGGCCACAGTGAAGGACATCCATTACATAGCGAACGAAGTTGACAACATTGCTGGTGATGAAAATTCGGTGGTTGTAATCTCACTTTGGTCCCATTTCACCCACCAACCGGAGTGGTTTTTCGCGCAACGAATGCGAACAATCATGGCGGCCGTTGCGCGTCTGCGGGAGCGCAGCCCGTCCACGCTCGTGGTCTTCAAGGGTGCGAACACGCGCGAACATATTAGCGAAAAGCAACGTCTGTATCACTCTGATTGGCTGGCCAGACGTATGGAATACATTATACGACGAGATATTGCCGAAAGCATAGCTTTCATGGACTCTTGGAGCATGTCAAGTGCGCAATTAATCGCGGACGATGTACATCCAGGAGGTTCACATGTTAAAAGCCTAAGTAATCAGTTATTAACGTTCATGTGTGGTACATAGGAATTCATATTAAACTCACTATGCAAGTGTTATCTCGTAATTTTCATAATTTATTCTCAGTAGAGACGGGTAGCCCGATGGTCTCAGCCAATACTTTAAGCATGCGTGGCCAAGAAAACGCGTATAAAGAAGGTGTTTTTTATTTTATAGATTGGACGCGGTCCGCGTGGTGCCGCATTAAGGGGTTAAAAAACGTAAATTTGGGGTCATTTTAAAGAAAACGGGTACTTTTTCAAAATGGTCTAAAATCCTGCTGTACGCGTCGGTATACACATTTACGGTTATATTTCTAGCCCTTAGGGCCGGACTGGGGAAGAAGAAGTAGGCCTAATAACTGCCCGTTGGCCTACAGCTGGTCCCTTATATTTTGTTTTACATATTAGAATATTTAAAAAACTGTTCATTGTAAATTGTGTACTGTTTATATTCACTATAGTAATAGTAGGCTACTTCATATAAAATAGATCAAATTTGTAATGAAATTCTTTTTTTTTCAAAGAAAGGACTTATGATGGCTATGCAATAAACTCATTTGGAAGTGTACAGGTTGATGTTATTGCTTCTATGTTGAACAAAACCTGTTACATTGTGAATTTATGTAGGTATGCAGATGATACCACTTTAACTGTAAGTGGAAGTAGCGTAGCTGAGGTTGAACAAAAGCTTTATTTCGCATTACAAGAATTAATGGTATGGATTAATAATAAATAATAATAATTAACCGTTCTTGTATAGCGCATTACACATAATAATACAACATGTCCCTAAGCGCTCTAGAGAAAAACACAACAGAATACAAAGACAAGATGTACTGGGTAACATACAAAAACCGCCTTGTAATAAACACAGAAAAAAACTTGCGTCATGGTCATAGCTTCGCGTGCAAATTTGAATAAAATAACAACCTTCAACGTTTCTATAAATGGGAAGGCATTGAAAAGAATTAACGTCGTCAAATGTCTTGGTACATAAATTGAATTGAATTGAAATGGTCCAAGCACGTTGACAAAGTAACAAAAGTAACGCAAAGAAATATCAGTGTAATAAAACGAGCTAAGGACTATTTACCAATAACATCTTTGAAGTTGCTGTATAATGCACTGGTATTGCCTCACTTTGATAATTGTTCCTCTGTGTGGTCAAATCGGTATCAGGAACAAACAGATAAACTCAAGAATTTTCAAAAACTTTGCTAGAATAATTTCAAACAACAGTTACGAGACCCCATCCAGTGAATTGATTAGCAAGCTGAAATGGATGCCAATTGAGAAACGTTTTGAATTTCAGCGTGTTAGTATGATGTACAAATGCAGACATCATTTGGCGCCATCCTATTTACAAGAAAGTTCAATTAAAGTAAGTGACATTCATCAGCATAATACGAGGCAGGTAGTATAAAACAGAATACTTTAAACATAGCCCCCTTGTTTCTTCAATTATAGCATGGAATCAGTTTGACAGATCATTGAAAATGGCAAGCTCTGTGAACACCTTTAAATACATGTTCAAACAATCTTGCATTATCGATTCCCAAAAAGATAAAATGACAAGAGGAGGTTTGTTTAGTGTATGTTTTTGTTAGCACTGAATGTAGGACGATATAATGCTTTCAAATTTACAGAATGTTTTCATATAATTTATTATCAGTTATAAATGCATTTGTATTTTCAATGTTAGTTAAGAGTGTACATTAAATTACTAAACTAGATTTCATGCATTAATTGTTCATACACTGTTGGTCATAAAGGTGGTATAATCATTTTTATCCCAATTTATTGAATGATTTTGACAATGATTTATTCCTAATAGATCTAAATATAATCATGCTTGACAATCTAGTTAAGCTCAAATATAACTTTATTACTTGATACATACTTATCAGTACGTGACACTCGCACGGTATAGCCATGGACCTACTTGTAGTCGGTCCATTGTATAGCATCCATCGTTGTACTCGTGTTGTTGTCTATGTGACATATCACCCCAAGGTGGCGCTGTTTGCTTAGGACTAATGAGATATGCATATCACTACATCCCCCTTTTCATCAAAATAATACAAAGAATACATACATATTTTTGTTAAACTATCAGACCCGATACAATGTGAAGTCACTATTCAAATCCAGCCAGGTTATTTTATTTTACTGTAAAATGCCGTACATGATTGTTATTTTCTTCATGCCACAAAGTTCAACATATATGCAATCATTCTATAAGTTATTATGCTTGATGAATGAACTTGAATTATGTTATTTTATTTTGCCGTTACATGCCGTACATGGTTGTTATTTTCTTCATGCCACAAAGTTCAACATACATGCAATCATTCTATATTAAAGTTATTATGCTTGATGAATGAACTTGAATTATGTTATTTTATTTTACTGTTACATGTCGTACATGATTGTTATTTTCTTCATGCCACAAAGTTCAACATACACGCAATCATTCTATAAAGTGATTATGCTTGATGAATGAAATTGAATTATGTTATTTTATTTTACCGTTACATGCCGTACATGATTGTTATTTTCTTTATGCCACAAAGTTCAACATACATGCAATCATTCCATAAGTTATTATGCTTGATGAATGAACTTGAATTATGTTATTTTATTTTGCCGTTACATGCCGTACATGGTTGTAATTTTCTTCATGCCACACAAAGTTCAACATACATGCAATCATTCTGTAAGTTATTATGCTTCGTGAATGAACTTGAATCATGTTATTTTATTTTACTGTTAAATGCCGTACATGATTGATATTTTCTTCATGCCACAAAGTTCAACATACATGCAATTATCTATAAGTTATTATGTTTGATGAATGAACTTGAATTATGTTATTTTATTTTACCGTTACTTCTTAAATATATTTATATGTAACACCAGTGGATGTGGAGAACCTCGTGACAGAATGGACATTCTTTTTAATAGGTAATCCTCAAGCGTCCGCTGGTGGCATTTTCATTGTCTTGTAACTCTTAATGTAATATGCTCTGTGTTGTCATTTCTATTTTGTTTATACATGTACCTGGAAATCAAATAAATTTCAAAGTTCAAAGTTAAAAAATAGTCCAGTTCCCATTTGTATACTCGAGTGTTCGTTTCAGTGGATTTTTGTCAGTATTTGCTTCCTTTTTAATGAACTTGCTTGTTCGCTTTTCAACACGATCCTCTGTCAAACATTACAACTTCAAAAGTAATGATGTTATACTTGTTCTACAATACTTATAAGATGTAAATGAGTTACAGGGTACACTGTCTGTTACTCCAACTATACCAGAGGAATGTTCTGCCTCTTGGATAGTACAGTTTTCCTTCTTCAACACTAAATAATAGTTGAAGACACTAGCTACATGCATACATAACTATGAGTGAAGGGGTTGACTACCCAACACTCCAACAGCACAAAAGGAGATTAGACTGCCCCTTTTAACTTGTACAGTAATTTACTACATGTATTTACAAATCTAACATAACAGGGCGTCTTCGTACTGTCAAAGGACAGCAACGTTCACGCTCATGAGATGGTGTACTCTCAATGGGGCTTCTTGGCGATGTCACGTCTCGCGAGTTGGTTTTAGCTACTGCTGCGATTTCGCTGTCTGCGTAGTCATTGACAATTACGCTTTGTTCACGTCGTGGTCGCTTCTGAAGATGACGTCTTTCGACGATAACGACTCCCTCCTTCACTTTCGATGATGTATGAGTGAGGTGATTTGTCTTTCTTGATGACGACCGCTGGTTTCCACACCTTACCATTTTAGAAGAAAACTCACTCACCAGGTTGTCAGATCTTTGGATCCCCTGCCATAGAAGTGCTTTTGACATTCTTGCAGTTCCTTCTTCCTTTCCAGCAGGAGCTCTTGATGCACAGGTTGTGGTCCAAATAGTCTGCTCGGAGTGGGTAGCTTGGTGTTGGTCCTTCTGCCTATTAGCATCTCTACAGACGATGACAGCCCGTCTCTAATGTGTTTCTAATAGGCCAGAAGAGCTAAATGTACGTCTTCACCTTCTTCAAGAGACTTTCAGCTATCCAATTGACTGTAGGTATATTGGAGAAGATGTGGTGTCTCTTAATCCATACTCGACACAAAATTGCTGGACTTCTGCACTGGCATATTGTGGTACAATATCTGATATCATCTCTTCAGGTATGCCATGTCGTGCAAACAGCTGCAAGAATACTGCTATCACGGGTGTACTTGTACTTTTCAGCTTGATGATTTCAAATTGGAATATAAGTCTCCAGGATGAGATAACTAGACCCGGCTAACTCAAACAGACCACTTCCAACTTTTTGCCATGGTCTCTCAGGTATGTCATGACCATGCATAGGCTCTTTCTGTTTACTGGCTCTATCTTTCAACAGTCTCTGCTATTTCAGCATTCATCCTGGTATATAGCACATCTCTTAGGGCGCGTTCATGCTTAATTTTGACGGCCAGAATCAGGCATCTGTTACGCGTTTAGTTTAAAACACGATTGCGTTCATGCTCACTTTTGTAGAATCACCGAAAAACGGCGATCACGATCGCCGATCGTAAACTCACAAAAAGATGCGTTTACAATTTGTAAACGCGTTTAAATGGGGTCAACGCACTGACCTCTAGTGGGTCTACGTAGCATGCGCACACAGGTTTGCGAATCCAGCTGAAGGCCACCCAAGGAGAATTGCCTGGAGAAGTGAGCATGAACAGTGCACCGTGGAACTGCGATTACGATGAGCGTTTACGATGAGCGTTACAAATCGCTCATTCTGCCTTCAAAATCAAGCATGAACGCGCCCTTAGTCTTATCTACTCCTTTGTGACTCTGATGGAATTTCTCTAGCATCAGCCTACCTTACCCTCCGCTGCGTACAGTCATGGTTCAGTGGCAAAGCAATAGCCTCGTAACTGTGAGGCCCCGTGATCAAAAGCGTGTCGATGTGCTATATTAGTGCCCTTTTGTGGGGCATTAATCCTCATTACTGTCATTTATGACGTAGGGGCGTAGGTCCCCTAGTTGCTAAGCATATTAGCATATAAATGCTTTAGCAGTCACGCAAAACAAACACTGGCAAATTATTAATCAATACAATCTGAGAATGTATACTATTATCTAGATCTATAAGGAATAAATCATTGTCAAAATTATTTCATAAATTGGGGTAAACAAAAAATATTCCAACGTTATGAGCGACAGTGTAGCTTGGATATCTTTATGATCTTGCATAAATATCGCGTGGATTTGGATTTTTAGTTATAATGACCAATTTATTCCTTAATTTACCAATTGATTCGTTGATTTCGCTAATTATAATGATATTTCCGTTTTCAAAGAAACGGTTTTACAAACAGCTGAAACCAGTGCCTCAGATTGGGTCCAGGTAATGAATGGTACTCATGGCTGATATAGAAGTGGGGTGTTTGTGTGTGTGTGCGGGGGGGGGGGGTGCGACTTGCACAATGTGTATGAAATAAGAGAATCAAAACAATTGAGCTAAGGGAGAATGATATTATATTACATTATTTACATTAGTCTAGATTCTGTCCTTTTTTAAACATTTTGTGTTTTTCAATCATCAATGTGCATCCGACACTGTTTGCGCAACCCTCTAAAATAGACCCGTCGAAGGTAAGAATAGGGACTTTTACATGTAGAATGATTGGACGAGAACACGACGAACGCCAACTGACCATGCGTGTCAACGTACTCAACTGCCCATGTTGACTACAATTAGAAATCTTTTAGATTGCACTCAACGATATACATGCATGTAGGAAGTAACACTTTATGAACATGACAGACAAAGAAAGAGGACAAAATATACAGTTCCTCATTTTACTCTCAACAATAGGCCATTTTCGTAATGTAACCAAATTGAATGCATAGGTCTTTGTGAAGTGCCTCAATACAAGTTATTTAGTTTACCTGATAGGAATAATAGTATTTCAATAGTCAGAATGCAACTGCATATTGTTGCTAGGTAGGTCAAACCATAATGTTTGTCCAACCTAGCTGGCAACAACTATAATGTATGCAGTTAGGATTCTGTCTATTGAAATACTATTATTCCTATCAGGTGAATGAAATAGTTTGTATTGAGGCACTTCACAAAGACCTGTGCATTAAATTTGGTTACATTACGAAAATGGCGTATTGCTACGTGGTAGAACATCCTTTCACTGCTATTATGTAAAAATGTGTAGAACAGGTGAAGATGCATGTGACACCTGTTC